TTCTGTAAATATTATGTATAAACCAATGACTGGTGACAGTGATGTAGTATGTTTCCTGTAAATATTATGTATAAACCAATGACTGGTGACAGTGATGTAGTATGTTTCCTGTAAATATTATGTATAAACCAATGACTGGTGACAGTGATGTAGTATGTTTCCTGTAAATACTATGTACAAAACAATGACTGGTAACAGGGATGTAGCATGTTTCCTGTAAATATTATGTATATACAACAATGACTGGTGACAGTGATGTAGCATGTTTCCTGTAAATATTATGTATAAAACAATGACTGGTGACAGGGATGTAGCATGTTTCCTGTAAATATTATGTATAAAACAATGACTGGTAACAGGGATGTAGCATGTTTCCTGTAAATATTATGTATATAAAACAATGACCGGTGACAGAGATGTAGCATGTTTCCTGTAAATATTATGTATAAAACAATGACTGGTGACAGTGATGTAGCATGTTTCCTGTAAATATTATGTATAAACCAATGACTGGTGACAGTGATGTAGCATGTTTTCTGTAAATATTATGCATAAAACTATGACTGGTGACAGTGATGTAGCATGTTTCCTGTAAATATCATTTATAAAACAATAACTGGTGACTGATGTAACATGGTTCCTGTAAATACTATGTATAAAACAATGACCAGTTACTGATGTAACATGTTTGCTGTAAATATTATGTATAATACAGTGATGTAACAGGTTTCCTGTGTATAATATATATATATATAACAATGATTGGTGATCGTGATGTAACATGTTTCATGAAGATATTACCTATGTCTATACCAATAGTTGGTTATGATGTACTGTAAAGTTACTCTAAATACAATTGTGATTTGTAACACATATAACAGATATCATGTAGAAAACAGTGATTATTGTTGGGTGGTCTCTATCTGTGAAGTTTGTAATGGCTATTTTTTTTTAATGCAGTGTTTGTACTTGTTATCATTACGTTTATTTGTGTAAATATTAGCCAGTGGTTGAATGTTACCTAGATGCAGAAACACTTGAAAGCCTAAATATAGAACTAAAGGAGCTACAGGAGATGAGAGAAGAGGATTTAGATCTACTGAATGAAGATGAAACTGCTGATGTATACAAAAGGATTAATTCAATTAAGTCAAGAATTAAGTGGATAAACAAGTATGTTTGTAAAATTTTAAAAACTATGAAAACTAAATATACAATCTCCCTATTTTCCCCACAGTCACTCTGTAAATTAAAATAACCCTAATCTACTGAAAAAAATTGCAGTGTTAAAAATAGGTTTAAATACTATTAAATATGCAGTATTCTTATTATCAAATCAAATATAACAAACAAGTTATGCATATGTTTTGGTGTTACTAGCTTCACTAATGTAGCTGTTACTTTATATGTTATTGTTGTTACGAACAGCTACATTAGTGAAGCTAACAACAATAACATATAAAGTGCTATTTGTTTGATTACTGACTCCTTTGTTGCATGACCAGTAGTCAAGACGAAGACAAAAGAAGCATAGAAAAAGAAGAAAGTAACCAAAGATATAAAGTAGACTCAGTAATTTTATCAAAGAAAAAATCAGTACTCAACCATTCATCTAAAATGAAACTTAAACACAGTAAATTGAATGTGAGTCAAAATGAAAAGAATTCCAAAACCACCCTAAAACACCAGAAAGGAGAAGTTAACTCTAAAACACATCAAATATCAGTTGACAGAAAAGCCTCAAAAGCCCCGTCTGAAGCTCATGTAGGATTGGATACTGATAAATTACAGAGCTCACTCAACTACTTTCAGAAAAATTTTGAACAAATATCAGAAATATTGGCTTCCTGGGACCGGAAAGCAGAGAATCTTGTTGATTTGAAATCTGGAAGCAGGTCTGAAAGTTCAGTTCAGGGCAAAATAAAATCTCTGAAAGAAAAAGAGAAGGAAACATTGAAGGATGAACTGGGCCAAATCTCAGAGATGACTAGTGATCAGAAGTTTAGTACTATAGGAGTTCCACACATCATTGTTCCTTCTTACTTGCCCCTTCACATTCTTCATAGTCTTTTGTTTTCTTCAGGAATGCTTCCATCTGTAGAGGAAGTGTTACAGTCTTTGAATATATCTCCAAATAATCCTTCTTTTCCAAGATCTACCACGTTTACTGTGTTGTCCATTCCTCCAGAGGAAACAATTCTTGAGTATAATGACACATTTTTCTTTGTGGCTCCTCCAGTTGAAGATGAATATGATAACAAAGAAAAAGACATAAATTTACAAGCCACAGACTGGAGATCAAGCCCTCAGCATCAAAAAGCTACCTCCAAAAAAGATAAGTCCAAGGCTTTGCACATTAGACAACCTAGTGTTATGCCTAGGGCTGGAAAAGACTTGAGTGTTTTACACACATTTCCAGATTGGGTGTCACAGGAAGATCATGATGAACCAAGGAAACAGTCTACACACAGATGGGTATTATACCCCAATACAGAATTAACTCTTATTGTGGGATTCCAATCTGACACTACTGGGAGTTTCCAGAAGACTTTTCACCTGGAACTGATAGGAATTCAAGGTGTATTTCAGATAGATTGTCATGGAACCGCATGTTTTCCTTCAATATATGTAGAAATCTTCTCCCATGCTAGCAAGAGCACAGTTCAACAAACATATAAAGATTCTTCTAAGTGTTTTGACTTTGGCCCATTGTTCACTTTACCATTTTTAGAAGGAGTTAGCAAGGAAACAGAATATCCTGGTAATAGTTCAACTCTCACATTCAAGAGTAGTAGTTTAAGTGATGTAGAAGTGCATTTTTTCATCAGTAAAAAGGAAGGATGTGAAACATTCTCTATTTCTCCAAATCAAATTGTTATATTCTCCAAACCTACTTATGTAAGAGTAGATGCAAGACCTCACTTTGCAGGTTTGCATGAAGCTAACATTGTGTGTTGTGTGAAAAAAAACCCTGAACCTCTAATACTCAGAGTTTCATGTTTAGGTATTTCTCCAGAACTAGCCCTGGACAAGAAAGTTATTACATTTGAAAAATTACCAGTATACAGATCTCATGCTGATTCCATAGTTCTTACCAATAGCAGCCCTCTCTCAATGTCTTGGAAGTTAGATGGTCTAGAAGTTCTGGGAAGTGAGTTTATTGTGCCCATTCCAGAAGGCATCATCAACAGTTTCTCCACATATGCAGTAAAAATCTTCTTTAGAGCTTTAGCTCCAGTTATAGTCTCCAAGAAACAAATTAAATTGGAGGTAAGAAATGTGACTTGTAAAAAAAAGAGTTTAATGTTTTATAATACATGTAGTTTTAAAATGTTTAGTTACATATTATCGAGCTCATATCATATAGATAGATAATAGTGTATACTTTCTCACAGCCAGCTATTAAGTTTTATACACTACATCGTAATTAGTATTTTTATGGCTGTGTAATGTACCTAGTTTACAGATAAGAGGGGTGATGTTATTTTGACAACATTATTCACTATTTAGGGATTGTCTTATACAGAGGCTGAATACATTATATCAAAATGATTTTGGAGCCTCACCATGTTGGCACAGTCTATCTTTACATGTCTAGCCATGTTCTTCCTGACAACCATGCGTCTTGACAATAGCCCTGCAGCATAGTTTCAATTGCAAATGGTTGTATCATAAGGCTGTCATGTCCAAAGTACACCACTCCTCCCTTAGTGCTTTACATAATTCATCTAATGTACAAGGACAATGGGTTCCTAACATCTTTTCAACAGTTTGATTGCAAAGAAGTCCATAGGTGCTGCATCAAGCAACTTGACTGATTTATCTTCCTATGGACTAGCATGAGTACCCATTTCACTCTACAGCTGCGTGAAGTATGTGACGATTGATGAATGGCTATGTCATGAAAATAACTTGTGTACACCTGACTTGTTTTGCTTTTTCAGACAGAGATCCTTCTTGATTATGTTATGTACTGTTGCTTGGGGCACATGGACAGCTTTTGCCACTGACCTGTTATAAGATGCCATATTTTATATAACATGGTTCAGGTATGATTTGTTACAGGTCAATTTTTGATGGCCCTAGTTCCCCAGTTTAATCCATATTCTTTTGTTTTGTAATGTCGTTAAGTACAAGTAATATCTTAGAAATTCTAAGTCCCCAATCTGAACACAACTCTGATCTGAGTGTAAGTGTAGGAATATTTGCATCAGAAAGAGCTGTTATGTACCCTTCCTAAAAGTGATTAATTTTTGGTGGCTTCAAACTACCTACAAAATGTATTACTATTACATGCTGTTTCACCATAGATTTTGTTGTCATGTGACCTGCTCATTTGTACATTCCTGGTCCCAACTACAATTACAGCTATTCATTTATTGGCATTGTTGACAGTGGCTGTTGTGGTGGTCACATGGTTCTGGTAGTAATGATAGAAATGGATGATGATGGTAATTTGCCACTTTTTGTTATTTTGTTAGCTTCTTGCTATATGCTTCACAGATGTTGTCCCAATTTAATTGACATTGTGATCTGGGGTGTAAAAAGAAATGTTCTTGGTGAATGGTGAGGGCTTTTGTACTTCCTAAACTGATAGTTTAAAGGTTCTTTCTCAATCTTTTTGCCATTTCTTTGGTTACTTAACTATTGCTGATAACAGGAGCCCTGTAACACAAAACAATAGATATATTTTAATTGGCTATCATCAGCTAGGAAGTTGGTAATGTGTGAACTTAGAACATGATCCTGGGTTTACATATTTACATTACTACTATTACTACTAAAAACCTAACAAAGTTGTTTCTCTGCTATTCTGATTAATCCTGAGATTCTTAAGTCCCATCTATGACTACTGTATTTGCTAAGAACAGAATGAGATTTTAGATGCCAAATCTTTGCTGTACATAACAACTTCAAGTTCATCTTAATTTTCACAGTTTAAGAATATCCAGTTATGAATATACAGTAAAATGGACACAAACTAACATATCAAATATATTGTCATCATTGAAGTCTTTACAATAGTCCCACAAGTTGTTTTAGTTTTTAAAGTGTCACAATTCAGCATTTCAAGTGACTGAATATTTTTTATTTCTGGCTTCAACTTTGTTTAGAGAAAGCTAGCAGGAGTTGTCTGCATTTTTCTGGACTTTCAAAATTTGGTTTTCTCCTGCTTAATTCCTACCTGCCTTTTGGAGTTAGCTGTAAGGACTCAGGTACTGACTTAATAAATATGAAAAGAGAGTGCTCCACCCTATGGGGTCCTTTTATATGGTGAGGACACCATTATTATTTATATGCAACTGACACTAATATTATTTATATGCTGCTGACACCAATATTCTTTATATGCTGTAGCATTATTTATATGCTGCTGACACCATTGTTATTTATATGCTACTAACACCAATATTATTTATATGCTGCTGACACTATTGTCACTTATATGCTGCTGACACTATTGCTACTTATATGCTACTGACACTATTGTTATTTATATACTACTAACACCAATATTATTTATATGCTACTAACACCAATATCATTTATATGCTGCTGACACCAACATTATTTATATGCTACTAACACCAACATTATTTATATGCTGTTGACACTATCGTTATTTATATGCTGCTGACACTATTGTTATTTATATGCTTGTTGGTGTTAGTAGCATATAAATAACAATAGTGTCAGCAGCATATAAATAACGTTAGTGTCAGTAGCATATAAATAACAATAGTGTCAACAGCATATAAATAAACTAACACCAACATTATTTATATGCTGCTGACACTATTGTTATTTATATGCTGCTAACACCAATATTATTTATATGCTACTAACACCAACATTATTTATATGCTGCTGACACCAATCTGACACTATTGTTATTTATATGCTACTAACACCAACATTATTTATATGCTGCTGACACTATTGTTATTTATATGCTACTAACACCAACATTATTTATATGCTGTTGACACTATTGTTATTTATATGCTACTGACATATTTATTGTTATAATTAGTTCACAGTATTCAGCTCTCTGTTTATAGTCTCAGATGCTGTGTGTTTTTATGATCTGAAGACACCATTCTAACTTACAGTGGAGTTCTTTATAAGATGTAGGACTGTCTGCAACATTTTATTCTTCTCAAATTCAAATGCTAAAAAAATCCAAAGACTTTGATGTTTCCTTCTGATCAGTTACTTTAATATGGACTCTTTATCAGACCTCAGTTGCTGAAGATTATCTCATATTGTAAATGGCAGGCTATCATGTGAACTGCTCAGATACCATGAGACCTCTGTCTCCATTCTTTAGCACTGTTTTTTAGTCATTACCTGGGACCAGTTACCCTTTTTTCAACAGCTAATGATGGCAAAATCTGTTGCTTCATCATCATCTCATTAAACTAACAGAGTCTGCATGTGGTATTTATAAAGAACATATACATAAATAGTAAGGTGTTGTAGCCATTTTAGTGCACAATTTCATAAAGATTGCTCTAATTTGAATAAGCTTAAAAATTAAGTGGGGAGGTAAAAGTCAGAAGATAGGTCAAGGGCATGATATCAACCCTGTTGTTTTTCTCAGGTTAGTGATCCTGAAGGTTTGCTAGGAGTGCTTCACACAGAATCTATACTTGTACAAGCAGAAGCTTTTGATTTGGTAGTGGATATCTCTTTCACAAAAGGTAAAGATATCTTAAAGTTCTTAGTAGATGTTTTTGATTTGGTGTTGGATATTTCTTTCACAAAAGGTAAAGATATTTTAAAGTTATTAGTAGAAGTTTTGATTTGGTGTTGGATATTTCCTTCAC